GGTGGGCTCTCTCAAATCCAAGAGGCCAATAGTTTTGATCTAGATTCTGTTTTAGAGCAATGGTATTATTTAGATCCTCCTGTCTTGTTCGAGGGTATAAAAGCCTAAACTATCTGCCTTTTAACTGTCCTTAGTATGGGGTAACACATGTATTATGTGCATCTCCTTGTAATGTTTTTCAGGCTTATTAAATTTAGCAGGTGTTAGTTTGTCCATTGCCAAGTTTGAGAAAATTATGTAATCTATAATGCTTGCCAGATGGGTTTAGGACTTTGGGATGAGAAAATTTTGACCAAATTACTATATATTGTACCATATAATTGGATGCTTATGGTTTTAGTCATGGAAGTGTGTGGATAAGGTTAGAACTATAATTATACATCTTTAGGGGTCTAGAAATATCTATATATGATTTGCTTCTTCTTGTTTTTTTTTTTTTTTGGTTCTTACGTTGCATTAAAAGAAGAAAAGTTCCTGTAAGGATCATTCATGATGGAATACGGGTTTTGGGATTGATAATTTTGAGTATTTAAAGATAAGACATTCTTAATATGGGATTAAAGAAACGTCACAAAACTTCTTTAGCTTTCATCCAAAGAAATTTAATGAAAAATCCAAGCTACCAATGGAGAGAATTATCGTATATATATTACATGCGCACATAATGCATGAATGTTTTATCTCTATATTAAAATTAGAAACTCAATCAAAGGACAAACCAATTATTTAGTTTCAAGAGGGTACCATTTAATTTTAACTTTCTTTTGCCACTAATAATATCAAATTAAGGGTCCCATATATTACAATCTAAGTAAAAAAGGTGTATGATTATTAAGTGAGTGCAAAATGTACAATGTACCTTGAATTGCATTTATGTTTGGTGTCTATATCTACAAGGAAAACTTCTTTCCAAGAATGGAGAAATTTTGTGCACACCATCTCTGATAAAGACTTAAAAAGAGTCCTTGATTGTATCACATTTGTGGGATTGGAATGCATAAAATTTTACTTTTGCTAAATAAGGAAAATACAAATGTGAACAATTTTTCCCCTTGAGAGGATGAGATATCCAATCATGTAGCTGCATAGAACATTAACAACAATAATAGTAGTTGTCAAAGAGAGAAAAACATGAATATGGACATCTTCAGATTTTTCACTGGTATCTTTCTCTTAATTATGAACCTAAGATGTTCTTAATCATTTGAGCTTAATTTAAGTTTATGAGCCGCTCATGTGAACATAAATTAGGTGTTTTTCAGATACAAAAGTTGACATTCAGTTTTATAGTACTATCATTTTTTCATGATTCCAATAATTGAAGCTATGCATTAAAATTCTTCGTCTAGTTGGCTCTCTATTTCACATCTCCATGTATAGGGGTCCAAATTAGGTTTTGGCATTTCATTTCTAGGTTAAAAGGTCTTACCTTCAATTACCATCAATCATGAAGTTATATAATTTGATATTAGAGTTATTTGTACTCTTAACCATAAGTTTAAAATTCAATCCTTAATTTTCATACACCAAGAAAAGAAAAAATCTTAATTTCAAATTTACAAGACATGACAAAAGATTTAGGTAAGAAAAATACTTTTTTTATGATCCGTGATTAAACGAACAACATTTAAAATTAGAAATTGAGATTCCTCATACATACTCTTCATGTAATGCTTATTTGGTATTGATGTACCTTGTGTAGATTATTTAAAATGGGTAGGAGTACCTTTTGTGCTCCAATGATAATAAAATTTTATTTTGTTTTGTTGATAAAAAAACAAATGAAATTGAGATTTCCTCATACATGAGATTCTCCTTATGTCATAATTTGTAATTAACCGACTGATTATTTGTTGAATAAAGCACAGGAGTGCTATGTGTGCCCGTGAGGTTAATTTTCCAAATTTTGAATAGAAAACTACTCGTTCACCTGTTCAATTGAAAAACCCTTTGAAAAAAAAATGATGATTGACTGCAGAACAAGCGTGGAGTTGAATTTTTTTTATATGCTATACCAGAACTTCATGCCTGCAGACTGCCTGTAGGTGAAGTCTGCTTCTCTACACATGCTTGCATCATAAGGCATCATTCTTTTTGTTTTCATGGCTATATAGTTCCTCGTAAACAAATAATGCTTCCATGCACACACCTGGCAGAGAAAGGGGACATACATAGATCTTTCAATTTTTTTTTTCAAATCTTGAGATTCTTCCCCCATTTTTTTCTTCATAATTATATGACATAACAGCGGAGGAAAGAGTTACATTTGGAAATTGACTCTAAACAAGAAAAATTGATAAACAACTTATACTCCACCCTTAACAAAATTTTAAGGGGTGGAGTCAATTAATTGCATTTGATTATCTTTAAGAAGAACATTAATATCAATTGTTAGTTAATTGACCCATCATCTACGTCGCAACAACGCTACTTTCCACTCCACCAAACGCCGCAAAAAAACCATAACCTGTCAAAATAAAATTTTTTTTATTACTCTAATTAGCCAAAATTGAAATGTGTTTAAAAAAAAAAAAAAATTGATTCAATAGCCGCATTTTACCTCAGTTGGGTCTTGCAGAGAATAAGAAGCATTAGTTTCCTTTGGAACTTTAGAAACGACGATTCCAAATCCTTGCCCTCTATCACGCAAAACCTGCTTGTTTTGCATGAAACAATGCATTTAAATGAGTTAACACTATGCAAATTACTAAGATTCTTCACTAAAAGCATTAGACTAGCGAAGAGAATATAAGATAAGCACCTTGAATGCATCTTCGTCGGTTCTGTCGTCACCAATGTACACTGGTAAAACATCAGCCGAATTGGCGTATCCTAATTGATGAAACAAATCACATTGACGAAGTAATTAATTACTATATATAAAGTTAATTAAGGCTTTCTTTTTTTGATGAAATCACTTAAAATACTCACCTAATGCCTCAAGTAAAAATTCAAGAGCTCTTCCTTTGTCCCATTTGATGGTGGGACGAATCTCCAATACCTTTCTTCCTTGAGTTAGTTTAAGCTTAGGGTACTCATTCACAACCGATCTAACTAGCTCAGCCAATGCATCCCAACTCTGCCCAAAAAAATTCATGTTAGAGAAATTAGTACTGCCAAAAAGGGAAAGAAAACAGTGGGTTCGGAATTAAAAATCCTTTTTAGTGCAAACCAGTTCAAACTGAAAAGAACATTTTCTTTTTTCGAGATTGTACCTTTTCATCAACACAGCGAAAGTGAACGGATAGACAAAACTTGTTATTTTCTACTCTTGCTCCTGGAATAGATTTTGTTTTCTCTTCTAAAGATTTATATACCTGAAAAAATAAAATGAAAAGAGTAAATTTTTTTTTTTTTGTTGTTGAAAATCTTCATTTCTTTATTATATATTCATATATTGTTCTTATTTTCAGTAGTAAGAACTAACTAACCTCTTCAATCATGGGTAAGAATTCACTAGCTGGTTGGAACAGAACTGGATTATGATTTCCCTGAAAAATCCAAGAAGTTGAAGCTGAAAAAAATCAGAGGCTGTCACAGAAAGGAAAAAACAGAAAAAGATGCTGAAATTACAGTACGAATGGCACTTACTTTGTTGTGTGTGCAGCTTTTAGATGGTCCCTTAATGTCCATGCCGTGGCTTCCAGCATAGTATAGCCCTGCCAATTTTACAAAGCTATAGACCTGCACCATTCCACTGCATTGTTAGGACTGAGATGCACAGAAAAAGGAAAAAACAGTGTGTTGTAGATTCGGAAAGGAAGAAACGTAATGTACCTTGTCGTAGCACCGACCGGTAACTATGGCTATCGGAAAATATTCAGCTGCGTCTCTTACAGCTTCTCTCATCTGATTCAGGTAATACGTTAGAAACTTAGGAGAATAAAGTGGAGGAGATGGGGATGGCCGGATGGGTGAGTAAAACAGAGAACAAACCTCGTTGGTCATAAAGGCTCGATCTGGATCCTCGACAATTGGAGAGAGGGTGCCATCGTAGTCGAGAAACAGCACGATTTGTTTTCCTAGAGAAGCATCTGCAATCTGGTCGAACATGGTTAACGCCGACGGATGACGAGCCTGTATTGTTGGAGAAAGTTAGAACGGTGAAGAGAGGATACCAGAATTAGAAAACGGAGAAACGGAACCTACAATCCAAGAAGTATGCTTGTCGGTTTCCGATAGAGAAGCCATCGGAGAATTGACACGGGTAGGAGAAGAAGCACGCATGGAATCCACCCAACAAGCATTGATTTTGGGTGACCCGTTATTAGTTTCTAGATTCTTCAGGAGCTTCCGAGTAACAGAAACAACCGGCCGCAGAGTTAACAGAGGCGAGTTGGGCAGGGACACCGTGATCCAGCTGACACTGAGTACCGATTTCTCATCGGAAGCCACCACATTTTGGTTCGTCATTATCGGTTCTTTAGCTTCTGCATACACGAGAACAAAATTCATGTAACCAAACTCAAAAATCTCGGAAGAAAAATACTAATGCAAGAGGGTAATATAACCTGGACAGAACAGAGGAAGAAGAAACAGGGGAGCTCTGAGATGTGGGATCGTAGGAAAGAAAAAGGGGAAAATCAGGGAAGAGCACTAACACTGAGGTGTCACATAGAACTTGGGGGGATGTCTAGTCAATTTATAAAACTCAGAAGCGACGAAAAAGTCATATTTTTCTCTCTCCTGCCTACTGTACTTTTCAATTCTAATACTTCCATTCATCTTCTTGCCTTTTTTTTTTTTTCCTTTTTTTTTTTCTTCCTTTCTTTCTTTTCTTCTTTTTTTTTTTAAAGAATAAAATGGACCACCTTATGGAATATTTCTGCACCACAATGGAAAATATGATGTTCATATCAACTTGTTTTGATATGTAATGATAAAAAAAAAAAAATTTCAGTATTGATGTTAAGGGCCGGAGTCCTCCATATATTCTTATAATCTTAAATCTCACTTTTAAGGATTAATTATTACCATTAAAGGTATTTTTTTATTCTAGAAAAAGAAGAATAAGAATATTTTTACATTAAAAATATTAAGACAATAAATTGCAATTATTAAATATGTTGTTTACAGTGTAAACCCTAACTTTATTAAATTTATTATATAATTATTATTGAATATCATAATATTTTTAATATTAAAATGTCTTAACTTTCTCTTTTTTCTATTTTTTAACATGTTAATAATATATTTTTAATTAATCATCCCGATAGATTTAGGCTCAGTTTTGATTTTGAATTTTTAGTTTTTATTTTTTATATATTTATTAATTAGTATTATATTTGAATTAAATTTAATAAATTTATATTTTATAATAAATTTTAAATTTTAAATATAGTAATAGTCACTAAATATATAAAAAAATAAAAATTCAAAACCAAAGTCCTACTAAACAAAGACTTAGTTTAGTATGAAATTTGTCCTCTTTTAGAACCTTTTGAAAAATCTTTGCCCCATTGTAGCCTAATAATTTAGCAATAATAATTCCCTTTTCCTAGAAAATATAAGGTATAAATTTGGGTGCAGAGGGTAAAAGAAATGAACGATAATGGTTTAATTACATGCAGGGTTTTTATTCGCCAAGGGTGATTAGTTAAATGATTTGCAAGCTATTGAGGAGAAAGTCTTCTATACAGCCGTTGCACCAAGTCAAATGTATCCACAACTAGTAAAATGTTTACATTTGTTCACTTATGGGACCACAAAACGTCTTCCACTACCAACCAACGTTTATTGTCAATGCTCTGTCTGTTTTTCCTTCTTCCTCTTCGCAGGGAAAAAATCCCTTTTTTTTTGAGATACGAAAAAATGTAAATCACAGCTTCATCACATCGCCCATTCACTTATGCCTAATTTGGTCAAAATCTTGTCATCTCCCTCCTCTTTGTTTGTTTTTACATCTTCCTCTTAGGTGGGAATGTAAGGATAGGTATAAGGTTAAGGACCTTGGACGTAATGCTACATTTCTTTAATGACTAAGATAACTAGTAAGTTCAGTTTTTTCCTGGTCATATAGTTGTATGATGGCTACAGTAAACATGTCCACACCCAATCCCCTAATCCCGAGATCATCGCCTGAATGGACATGTCATACTCCGATTACCTTGTTAAGAAAGTCATATAGATACCTCATTAAAGCTTATGAATACCCTTAGGGGTCATTTCAAAAAGGTAATTGAAACTGACCTAAAGTTTCTTTTTCCATGATTCTTAAAGGTAGAGTAAATTATTGTTAACTCAAGTATTGAAGTGTCTATTTCAAAAATCCACCTCAGGACTTTACAGGTGAACCTGAAGAGAAGACTTGGACTGAAGGGAGCTGCTAGTTTGTTGCAATTACAGGGAAGAATTCCTCTTTTTTGTTTGAATTGAGATACAGAAAGAGAAAATTCCATGTTTCATATCCCCAATTTACTGATGCCTCAAAATCACAGAGGCATTGATCAAAATCATGTCACCTCCATCCTCCTCAATCTTGTATATATACCCACGGGCCCTTTTCAAGTGAAGTGCAAGGAAATAGTTTCTAATACAATCAATCAAAGTCTTCCAAAAAAGAGGTATCTTGTACCATGGATTAATCACACTTGAAGGAAACAAATTTTTTGTAGATACATCTCTCACAAATGAATCATTTTTTCTCCCATAAATATGGTATTTCTTTTCCAAATTTGTTGTATCACTCCATCACTATTTTGTGGGTTTGTTATTTCTTCAGTTGGGAAAGAGCAGGAAGAAGAGGAACTCAACAGCTTACATATCAACGATAAACGTTAGTGAGAAGTAGAAGACGTTTTATGGTCCCATAAGTAAACAAATGTCCACATCTTACTGATTGGGATATATCTGAGTTGGTGTAACAGTTGCATAGAAAACTTTCTTACTATTGGGAGATAGAAAATAACTTATACCGTAATATATGCAAATTGCGTTTTAAAATTTTTATTTGAAGTAAATTATTATATAAAAATATTGATGCAATTTGTTATTTAAAATTTTTATTTTTAAGAAATCAATATAAATTTAATAATTACCATTAAACTCTACTAAACACTTAAATTATTATTATTTTTAAAATCTAATAAAAAATTAATAATAACTATTACATTTAAGTTAATAACTTAAAAATAAAAATTTATGTGACAAATTACGTTAACATTCTTTTGTGGCGATTTACTTCAATACAATTAATAATTTTATAACAAAAAATTGAAGGTTGTTAATTATCACCCAAAAAGAAGAAGAAGGACGTTTGGAATGTGGTCAATCAAGTTAAGTACATTGTGTGTGTGGTGGGATCGGAAAAGGACTGCAGCAGGTTAGAGCACTAGACTATGATGGAATGGTGAAGGGCCAGTGCCCACTGGAGTCACCTCTCGGCGTCCATCGTTGTCCCGAGTTTTTTTTTTTTTTATTGTTCTGAGGTTTGACAAAACATCTGCCAAGTTGGTCACTTTTGTTGCAGTTGTGCAACTCGTTACGTGTGAATCCATCGAGCTGTGTAAAATATGTGTCCATGTTTTCTTCGTTAAGTATATGCCCCTGAAGTTTGGAAAAGTTTCGTCAAGTAATAAAATCGAGGATTAATAGCCTCTGGTAATTAACAGTACTTTTAACACGTTTTACTTACTTTTTTTAATTTTTATTTTGTCTAATGGAGACAAACACAAGTCATGCTCGTTTAGTTGTAGTTTTTCTTTTTCTTTTTGTTTTGTTTAACTTGGTTCTCGTGGTAATCAAGTGTAATAAATATTTTTTTTAATTAAGTTATATTAAAAAATATAAAAATTAATTTTCATTTTAATATTATTTTCACATGTAAAATTTTAATTGATCAATTGAATAACTTAAAGTTAATTAATTAAAAAAACATATTTACTATATTTTTAATATTTACTATAAGGGCCTAAATTAAAAACTATTTGTTCTTTAATTTAAACATTCATAATGTTTTTAGATCAATAAGTCAATTTATGCGGTTTTGAGAATAATCTCTCTTGAGATGCTATTAGTGAGATTTTTAGTTCAAAAGTTTTTTTTTTTTTAACATGTGGGTTATAAAATGACAGTTAAGACTTCCTTATCATCTTTACCCACATCCTTCGCACATGAGATTGAAGGATTCTACAAACTCCACTAATAGGCACAATTTTTATATATGTTTATTTTCCATTGGAGATTATAATCTTTCCATTTGTGAAATTTACACTTAACTTAAAATGTAGCAGAGTTTAACTAGGAAGAATTGGATTCATCACTAGTCAGTAAAATTTAAGATTTATATTGGTGTACTTTAAAATTATTTAAAAATTATTAATTTT